TGCTCACTGATTTGTAGAACTCTGGCACTTTGAACGTCGTAAATAATAATGTTTAATGTTGTTTACTGAACTCTCTTAGGGCCATGGGGAGAGGAGGAGGAATGGACGGATAAAGCTCGACGGGTCATCATGGAGAGGATTGGTCTGGCTACTGCTGGGTGAGTGTTGAACCAGTCATTCCTAATAGCGTCCCCTTGCCTTCACTGTCAGCCCCTGTGCTCCTCTCATTCTCAGTGAGCCATATCATGACATCCGCTTCAACTTGATGGCAGTGGTGCCGGACCGTAGGATGAAGTACGAGTCCAAACTGGAGGTTTTAAAGAAGAATCGACAGACTATTTTGGAAGGTCTACAGAAGGTAGGAAATAGACATTCGGGGCCCAGATAGGGCTCTAACTATACCGTATTAAAACTGAAAATTGCAATACTATCAAAATACAAATACTTTCAGTTATCCTGCTCCATACGCATGTCATGTGACTGGAGTGAGCAAAACTGTGGCTACCACCACCACCACCTTGTAAATGCTAGTTGGCCTTGTGTCTTTGCTTGTGTAAAGCACATTGAGTTGCCTTGTGTTTTAAATGTGCTATATAAATAAAGCTGCCGTGCATTGCCTTACCACTAATGCTGGTTCTGTTCAACTACGTGAGGAGCGTAGACAAAAGGAAGAAACATACAAGTTACTAGCACAACTAATAACCTTGACAATTACGACCAACTAACCCCCCCCCCACACACACACACACCCCTCCGCCAGAGCTCATTTAAGTAGCATTTCGTTAGCGTGCTTCAAAGAACACCCCCCAAGTCACGGCAAACATGTTAATGCAGCTTCAAAGACATCATCCCAAAATAATTTTAAGTGGAGCATGGAGGAAAACACAGGCGCCATCGACTTTTCAAATGTATCTATTAATAAATTATATACATTGTGACTGTAATGAGTAGAAACCAATAAATACATTAATATAATAACCATTACTATACACATTAATAGTGATTTATTTGTGCTATGTTATATTTATTATATTTATTTATAAAGAAAACTCAAATCGTGGATCGAACCGCCACATTGTTCTTTTCTTTGAATTGGAGTCATGATGGCCATTAACGAATAATTCTTCTCTTCGTCTTTGTGATGAAAAACATGTTTTTGTCTAAGAAAATTACAAATTTGTTTTGTGAGTGCAGATGATCCGACTCACCCAACCTGAGCTTGTCCATGACAAGAAGCAGCAGGACTCTCCCACGCTTGACGGCAACACCAATTCAATCAAGAAAGAAGCAGACACGGAGCTAGTAACATCCCAAGGGGCTGATCAAGCTACCCCTGGTGCATATTCTTCTATTCTTGCCAGTAGTTTTATGTCTCCTAAAAAGGCGGATTTTAAATATAATACTGTCTCCTTTATAGATGAGTCAGGAGGGAAATCTAAAGCTGGCCCCATTCCTCCAGGAAACACTAAGGCCACAGGAAAAGCACCCGGAGGAGGCTCACAGCAAGTCACCAACCCCATCGTTCAACGCTTGCCTGCCTTCCTCGACAATCACAACTATGCCAAGTCACCGATGCAGGTGAGGGGCGGGGGGGGGGGGGGGCAACTCTTGAATCTTTAATGCACGCTCACCTTTTGCCAGTATGGAACAGTAACAGGACTGTATAATTAAGAACAAATAAATGGCATGCATTTTTTTTGCAGTCCTGCAAACAGCTTGGCCTTCAGGAGAATGCTCAGAGGGAGATTATAATTTTCCTTGCCTTTGTTTGTATGTTTGCAGCAAACACTGCTCAATATATTTTCAATGAATCTCAATGCTTTTGTGACACATGGAAAAAGGATAGAATGATTCAATTTTGGTGAAAATCCGAATGGCAGATCAAGTATTAAAAACAAACAAAAGACCGCTGATGTTGGTTAAAAACTCAGTTATACTGCCACTTACAGGACATAACAACGGTCATGCCTCCTGTTAGGAAATCCATTAGTTCTTTATAAAAGCGATCTGTTATGCGTTGAAAGGACTTCAGCTGCTGCAAACAACGTTTTGAGAAATGAAGATACTTTGATTGACAGGAAGAGGAGGATCTTGCTGCCGGTGTGGGACGTTCTCGAGTGCTGGCACCTGCACGACCAGCATACTCTGAAGATGAAGATGACTATGAGGATGAGGAGGAAGTCACAGCACCTGCAGGAGCAGCAACGAGGTTAGTTTCCTGATGATTTTTTCCTCCTCACCATAGCAGCGAGTCTTTTGACTCCTTGATTTACAACATTCATGATTTCACTTTTGAACTGTTCTTTTTTTTTTTTTTTCAAGGTTTAGACGGAAGGCCGGTCTGCGATCACGAACAGGAAGAGTCGTAACTGGAATGGAAAGCCAGATTGCCCTCAGTGTCTTAGCTGAGAAACTAAATAAGGAGGCCCAAAAAAAAGATGCCCTCAACACACCGCTGTCTGTGCGCACCGAAGGCCGCACCGGCGGCATTTGCATCACATCCGCTTCGCAGCCCTCCCCCACACCCAGCAACGAGAGCACTGACACGGCCTCGGAGATCGGCAGCGCCTTCAACTCGCCGCTTCGCTCACCCGCACGCTCACAGGCCGCTACGCGTCCATCGAGTCCCGTAGCATCCCATCTATCGCGCGTGCTGTTCGGAGAAGACGAGTTGCTTCGACTAGACTCCCGACACAATCGTGCTGTAAGAGAACTGGGTCCGTCTGTCAGCGTGGCCCTGCTACATCTCCTGGAGGACGGAATCATCTATTCTCTTCCACCATCTGGTGAGTATCCATGCACCTCACTGCCGTTTAGATCATCAGATATACTCTTCTATACTGTATGTCCATATTATTTTAAAACTTGCTTGCTTCATGCTGGTTGTCACTCTTTTAATCAAACAGCAACACATTCAAACAGAGCATAAAAAAACTATACTCACAACTGTATATTCGCTCTTTATCTATTGTCCTTACTTCTTAATTATGCTGCATCTCTTCCATCGGTCCTTAGTGCTGCCAGGCATGTTGGGGCACAATGTGATATTGTTCAAAGTACGTAGAACGCATTTGAACTTGTGTTGATCAATTATTATTTTTTTGGGGGGCCTTAAAGCCGAATTGGCTGCAGATGCTATTAAGTCGCCTTGCAATCCTGAGAAGATAAAGGATAATGATCAAGCGGAGAAGGAAACAACAACCGAGAAAGACAAGGGACCATCTGTGGAGGTGAAGAAAGAGGAGGAGGAGGAGAACAAAGATGGGGAAGATGTGAAACCTAGCAAGGAAAAGCTCAATGCTATCGAGCCTGCTGCCGACAGAAAGCCCCCGGGGGATAAGTACTCACCCAAAGTAAGTCCAAAAATGACAACTTCTTCCGTGTGTGTAGAGCAGTCACATAATTAAGACACTATTCTGTCAATTGCAGGAGTTGCTTGCACTTCTCAAGTGTGTAGAGGCGGACATTGCCAATTATGAAGTGTATCTCAAGGAGGAAGTCGAAAAAAGAAAGAAATACAAAGTGGGTTGAATATATTCCCAACCACTTGAGTGTAATTTTGGCTGGCACTTTGGATTGGTTTCTCATCAAAATGTTTATCTTCCTGTATGCAGATTGACGATCAGAGAAGGACCCATAATTACGATGAGTTTATTTGCACCTTTATATCTATGCTGGCCCAAGAAGGTAAACATTGTCCTCTCTTTTGCCCAATGCCGTCTTATCGTTAGCCTCATTTTCCTTCCTTTCTTAATATTTGGCAGACCTCGTATTGTCAAGGGACAGGCAATTGATGTACATCCTAGTCAATACACATGTACTGCTGTGGTACCCCGAAAATAAAAGGGCTTCTCATGTGAATGTTGCTACTTGCCTTACAGTATTACCATATCCTAAAATAACAGCTCTAATGATTATTTACAAAGAATTTGCATATACGAAAAACAACACGAGTTCTATCGCGGACTTCCGCCGTGTATTTTAATTCTACGTTGGTTGTACTCTGCAGGGATGCTAGCCAGCCTTGTGGAGCAGAACATTTCGGTGCGTCGCCGGCAGGGAGTGAGTATCGGCCGCCTGCACAAACAGAGGAAGCCCGATCGCAGGAAACGCTCGCGACCTTACAAGGCCAAGCGGCAGTAATTTTAAGAAGTCATATCGTGTCACTAAAGTAACGCGTGGCTGTCAGGATCAGTCGTAATCATCATGGTTAAACAGAAATCGCCACGCCCATGAACTTCATGTCACCGGTTCATCGTGGCATTTTAGTCCCAGCATTGTTGTTTTCATGAAACTGACCAAATTGTTTGCTCAGTTTTTTTTTTGTTTTTTGTTTTTTTTTTCAATCATGTGTGTAAATGTAATACCTTTTTAGTGATATTGTATACTGATATTTACAATTTGTAAATACGGAATCAAAGGAAATGTATTTCATGAACTACAATGCTCTTTGGCCATGCAATATTTAATGGTTTTGGATGTTTTCTCTGTATACAGACTTATGGTCAGCATATTCAAGATTTTTTTTTCTTCCCAAATTATAAATTATTCAGTGTCTGTATATCATAAAATTACATCTGCTAACCAAATTCTATACCACTCATCAAACACACCAATTTTAAAAATTACATTCCTCTCAGAGAGTTTTAATAATGAAGGTTACCTGTTTTGGACAAACGTTCTCAACCCGCAATATTTTTTTCTTCAATCTTCTGTAAAAGGTAAATAATCTCTTGTAATTCTTTTTAACCTGAAAGAGATCTCAGAGTGGCGTAATAATGAATTTGCATGTGTGTATTTGTGTGTCTTGTACATATTTATATGTTTACGGTGCTCAGCAGGAACCCCCTGAGCTCAGTGTTATTGCCATTGTGCTTGCCATTACTGCAATAAAGTCAATTCAAACAGTGTTTTCTTTTCCAGATTGATTATTTTTTGACAATGACAGAAACTGGTGAGTAAGGATTATACTTATTTATTTATGACCCATCTATCCATTTTCTTTTGTGCTTATCCTCAGGCGGGTCACAAGTGAGCTTGACATTATTGGTATTGCTCTTATTAAACATTTTGCATTTTTAAATGTTATTATTTTCTTTTACAATCACTCCTTTGGATTTTTATACATTTTTAGAAATGCATGACAGATCAAATGTTCTTGTGGGCTCTGTGGTCCACGCACGATACATTTCCAATCCCTGATAATCATTTTAGCTCCTTTGTTTTTATTTTCTAATACTGTACATGTATGAATTATAATAATTTTATGTGTGTGTTGAAAGTCCAGTTTTTACATTGTGTTACATTGCTTAATACTGCTCCAGTTGCTCAGTGCTTCCCCTTCCAGATTTCACCCCAGTGAACTTGAGTACTAACAGAATAATCTTTCATAATGGCTCTCAGACTGATGCAAAGTTAAAGTTGTGTATTTTCAGTAGAACAGATGTGTGTGTGCTAACCAGAGTTATACTCTACTGTTACATCACTTGCTTGTGATAACAATCAGCATAAAAAATAGACCAAGCAGAGATGGATGGATTGTCACGGTAAGATTTTTTTGTTTGTTTTTCTAACACATCATGTTCATCTACTTAATGTTTCTTAGGTGTCTTCCCTTTTCATAATGTTGACACAAATTGCAGACATTGTTTTTTTTTATGAAACCCCTTCAAAAATACGTCAGTAGAACAAACAAGATTCCTTGGCTTCTACTGTGAAAACCAATTAACCGTCGAGTCGATTATATTTACAGTGCGTTGTTTCAAAGTCATATGAGAAACCATTTGTGGCCCGTGAAATAGTTCTACATCCTTGATTTGAAACATTTGCACGAAAGAACAAATAGTGCGTAAATGTCTGACTCGCCGATGTCTCTGTGGACTCCGGTCACGTGCCACCAAGAGCTCAAGAGCTATTTGCGTGTGGCCTAAAATAAGAGTCTCGTGAACGCGCACGTACGAGGCACTCACGTTCCCACCCATTGCGTCAGCGCGCCCCCGCGCTCTGTCCGCCTGCGCTCGTGCTCCGTGCGGGATGCTGAATTGTAGGCGATGATGGCGGAAGGGGAGCACCGCTGACTTTTATACGAGTTCTTCCCGCAGCCGAAGAACCGTCTACGACATCGTATCTCCCCCTCCGAACCTTTCCCGAGACAATGGGGAACGAAGCGAGCATGGAAGGGGAGGGACAGGCGGGACAAGGCGACCCATGCGCCGTTCCTGCTGCGGGTGCTCCGGTTTCCATTTCAGCACCAGCGGACTCTGGACAGCTCATCAAGCCGAGCAATGGAGCGCCTGCCGGAGGAAGTGGCACTGGTCCCGGCCCGGGGATTAACAGGTAACCGACCGAGCGAGAAAAGTGTGGCCAAATACGAGGGAGGTTGAGCGGCGTGGAGTGGCTTGCGTATCCTGTAGATGGAGCACCGAGCGACTGCGAATGGAGATGTAGACTTGAATGGGTGCTCAATTATTTATCCCAATATCCTTGTCAACGCAACTCGCCATCCTGACATCAATTTCGCTGTCTTTTCTCTCTACAACACGCTTACTCGCCATCGCTAACATGTTAGCATGCAGGCTCTTTCGCTGTGAACATCAATACAACGTAAATACAGTACGGCGATCATGGGGGCATTTGTACGCCCCTTTCCACGGCGCTTGTCCTCGGGCTTCACTAGTATCATGAATGAACGAGCGACATCTGAGCAGGTGATCTCGGCAACGGTGTGAAGAAATTGCGAATAAGAGCGAGCGTTCAATTTCATTCATTTCCCGTACGCACGTCGGCATTTTTTTTCCATTCAACGTCAAAGTCATTCCGAGAACTCTACCTCGCCTGGTGAGGCAACGTCTGGATCCTTGTGTCGTTGCTGTGTAAGATGACAAATGTACAAGTCTGACAGCATCGTTGTTGAGCCAAGGCCGGTGACTCTATCAGATCACACTCCAAATCATTATGCATCCAGTGGGAATTGTTTACCACCAATGCGCAGGAATAAGGAAGAATGGTTTTATGTTCCCTCATGAAATGCACAATGACTGCACAGTAGTTCTTAAGCATATCCATTATTATTCATGTTTGATCATGCATAGTATCCCAGTTTTTGTGGGTGTGCAGGAGAGATTACCATTGCTTACAAAATCGGATGTTACCTAACAGACACATCAATCGGACTGCAATGACACACTTGCATTTCATCCATTGAGATGGCTTGGAATTCCCTGGTCTTTCATAGCTATTAATATTAAAGTGCAGAGAAAGGCAGATACCTTTAATAATGTTCTGCGCACGTGCATAGCTTTGGGGAAAAAAAGCAGGTTTAAAGGCCCACCACGTACAGGGCGACAATTCCGAACTGCTGGAAAAAGAAGACAAGATGTGATGATAACCATGGAAATAGAGAAGGTAAAGCATAAACAGTTTTGAAGTTCAGGGGTCAAATTTGATCCTGTGTGGGGTTTGCATGTTCTCTGCATGATTGCGCGGTTTTCATGCAAACATGAATGTTAAGTTCACGGAAGACTCTTGATTTGCACTTGCACTTCATAGGTGTCAGTATGAATGTGAATAGTTGTGCCATTGTGATTGGCCAGTCCAGCGTGTACCCTTCCTCTTGCTCTAAGTCAACTGGGCCTGTCACCCAAGTGAGAACAAATGTTATGGATCAGCAGTAGTTTACTTCTCAGGCTTCCAGCAATGTTGAAATCTTACATCAGAAATTGGCATCACACCTGGAAAGGTTTTCATGATGACAGTTTTAGCATCTGACACATTTTCACTGAACATTGTATTTAATATGAAATAAGAACAAATTAGAAGTCAAGCAGTGATGTCGCACACCCGCGCAGTTCACTGGAATCCATTAAAAATAACATAAACGAATCTAAGTCAATGTATGCTCTATGTGCAATGTTTAGTTACAAATTAAAAGCAAGGTTATAGTTTAAGAACAACAATTATGGTTGTGGTCTTATTCCAAGTCACAATGTTCAAACTGTGCAGCCTCATATTTAATTTAAACTCGCGCCATGAAAGCACTGTCCTCCAGCCAAATGGTACTCACAACTCAAATAATGCAAAAGCAGTTATTATTCATGACAATATGTGGCCAGAGAATAGATGCCTGGCAAAGAGATCAAGAATATTATGTAATAGCTTCAAAATAAGCCCGTGGAAGGCATGGTTTATTTCCAAAGTCATATTTTATGCTTAAAACACATTCTTCCAAATGTGTTTGGTAATTTTAGATTGCAGATGGTTTAGCTCATATAGTTACAGAAACTGAGCTGCCGCCAAAGCTGAGTTTTTTTTCCAACTGTCCACTGGCAAATGTAACTATTTTTGACCAAACAGTGCCGAAAAAAATTGTGTGAGCAGATGCGACAGGATGCTCCCTATCATCTCAGAGATGCCAGCACGTTCACGATTTAAAAAAACAACAACATGATGTAATTAAAAATCACTTAATGTAATGTATTTCAAACTGTTGCTGTTCAATGTTAGGTTGTGTAAGTGCCACATCCTCTACAACTTGTGTCAGAAAATTACCAGGACTGTTGCCACAAAAGATTTATTTCAAATCCAAACTGTAAACTACAAGATTTCCCCTTGGAAGTAATTCCTCCTGGAGTCTAACACATTTTCCCAACCTTCTCTGCCAAGGTGTTGGCACCTGTCAGATGCTTAGCGCATTGGTCGATCGTCTGGACCACAATGAAGGGTGAAACTTGTTTTAGGTTTGAAATATCTTTTGTACAACCACTTCAGGTTGTACCCCGCTAGGATAGACAGCTAGGATAGGCTCCAGCACGCCCGCAACTCTCGTGAGGATCAGTGGATCAGATAATGGATGGATGGATGGATATATCTTTCGTTACCCAGCTCCCGGATTCTTCGGACACACCTCGTATGACACTGCAGAAAAATATAAAAGAGCATTTGGAAGCTATGTCCTGCTATAATGACATGACTGTTGGCCCTGGATTTCACATTAACATTCATTGGAAACGTTTATAGGAAAAGTAGCACTGTATTTAAAATGTATTTCAATTTTATTTCCTCTCCTCGATCAGAACTAGCAAGTCGGCCGGCAACACTTAAACTACAAATCCCAGAATGCACTCGGTGGTGGAATGTCACACTGGCTACTAATTATTTCCACCCTTCCGTTAGGAGTCACGCTGATTTAGAGCACTATGCAGTTCGTTTGAGTCACATTTAAGAGGTAATTCGATTTGTGGTGTGGAAGGCAGATGAGAATCATACGCTGCGACGTAAAATTGCTCTTTTTAGCTGAGCGGGCTAATTCGACAGCAGTTATCAGTGAAGAAACCTCAGAGTTAGCATTGTCAAGGCTTTAAGGAGCCTTGTGTAGAGTCTTAACAGTAAATAAGGGCTTTGTATAATTTGGAAACTATAAATGTTGAATCGTTTGAAACTTGCCCAAATGTTTCATGTTTATCTGGCTTCACGTTTATCTCTGTCTTCATTAATCCGTCTTTGCCTCAGGTCATTTTTCATTGTAAGACAGGTTAATTGTATTCATATCATCTGCATTATTTGGAGGCACTATAATAAGATTATCTTGAAAATATCATGTCCTGTAAAACAAAATATATTTGAAGGATTTCATGTCTAGCTTCATTGATGTAAAAATGGATTGCTGCGCTCCGAGTAAAAGCTGAGCTCCACTAATGGTCTGAACCTACAAGTGCCTTTTGTAAGGTCCATCAACTGACAGGCTATAATTCTCGCTTTTTTTCCATCCTTTCAAAGTAATATAATGGCTCTTTCTTGGCACAAACAACACGTAATACAGTATGTGGGCGTGAAGATGTAAATTTGATAGTGGTAGAATAATTCTAATGCATTCAACCAGAAAAATGCATTAGGCTTTCATCAAAGTGTTTTGAGTCTTTTGAGTGGTTGGGGTGGCTGTTTCACTCTCTGTGGGCTGTTGGCTTGGCTTCCACCCATTTTATGAAGCAACTTGTAAACGTGTGATCATTCTTCCCATCTTGCGTACTAAATGCACAGGTACGATGCTGTACATACAAAAATGTATCGTCACCATCGTGAGACCGTGCAAAGAAGTGTCTTTCTGCTTCCAGACAAGAGAACATTTCATTAACGACTCCCATTACAAGAGTGGCATTTTACAAACCTCTCAGTAAGCACTTTGTGATGAAGCAATTTGTCAAACCGTAGACATAAAACTATAGACATAAAAATGGAATGTTTTCCTCTGTGGATTCCCATTTGCTGATGGATGGAAGAAATCTTTTCATTGCTTCCTTCCATTTATACCTTCTTTCATTTTTACTGGTCAAGTGCTTTTGCGGTCCACTCTGATTGCCAAGCGAAAGACATTAAAGTTGGGGGCGCCACTTAACCTACATGTGACAGGCTATACTAAAATCATACTGATCATGGATTTTCATCAAACACATATACTCTCCACACTTGGCTACAACCATTAGTTCCCTCTGAGTCTTAATTATGTCAATTTACCAAGACATTTTAGACAATTCTATGCTTGGGGAAAATCCATAACAACTTGGTTGGAAGAACATGAAAGCCCTGACAGCAGCCATCAAAACATTGAACAACTTAAGGAGGAACTACTCATCAGTAATGTAAATCACAAGTCACCCAGGTCTGTGAACATACAAAATGTAGATGCCATTTCCTCTCACAATATATGCCCGGTCACGAGTTTGAGCTTTTTCATCCAGTCCAGTTTAGCTCAGAGCAGAGACCAGAGTGGTGGTCACCCTGTCAGTTTGGAATGTAACAGAGCAATGATGGTTTGTAAAGAGTTCCAGTTGTGCAGTGGGCCAAGTCAGTGACAGTGACTCAGAGTGGCTAACACGCTCTATTTGAATTCTTTTACTCCAGCCTTTATCTCCACTCTTCTCTGACCACGGAGGGTGAACTGATGCTGAAAATGCCTTTGAAGATGACGGCCATGACAATATCATATCTAAGTTGTTATGACAAGCCACTTCCTCCATACTTGTTTGAGGATTCCGCTAATGCCCGAAGGACAGACAGAGAAAGTCAACAAACATTGACACTGCATCGCTGTTGTCTTTTATGTTACCTTTGTTGGAACTACTGTAGCCAGACAGGTTCAAAGAGTTCAAGCGAGCAAAGGTATTGCAACGGACATTTTTAAATAACCTTATAGTGACTACGATTTAATATTTGGTGACATAACCCTGACTTGCAATAACTGCATCAAGCCTGCGACTCATTGATTTCACCAGACTGTTGCTTTCTTCATTTTAAATGTGTTTCCAGGCCTTTACTGTGGTCTCTTTCAGTTCTTGTTTGTTTCTAGCTTTTTCTCCACTCAATCTCCTCTTCAGGAAGTAAAATGCATGCTCCATTGGGTTAAGGTCCGGTGGTTGACTTGGCCAGTCTAAGATTATCCGCTTTTCACCTGTGATGAAGTCCTTTGTTGTTTTGGCAGTATGTTTTGGGTAATTAACTTGTCGCATGATGAAGCTTCTCCCGGATGTGTTTTCTGTAAATTGCGAGGCAAAATGGTTTTGTAGACTTCAGAATTTAAAATACTGCAGCCATCATCAATAAAAAGACTAGTGAGCCAATTCCAGAAACTTCTTTTCACAAATAACTGTCAAAATAAGAAGCGGCATTGTCATAAACAAGTACGGTACTAATTAGAAGTGTACTGAATAAATGCAGATTTCCAGTGTGTGAGCATCGATTATGCCCTGTGCATTTTAAAATGGAATAAAATAGTAGTGTAGAACCAATTTGTCAACAATAATTATCCTAAATACAACAACTCTGATACATGTATGTTTTCTTCCAGGCCACCTGCATCAGACCAGGGACCTAAATCAGGAGTCCACAGCAGTCAAGGGACAGGGGACAGGCTGGCCTCCCATGACACCCCACAGTCTGCCCCATCCTACGGGGAGCAGGGCCACGGTCACGTGTCCAGGAAGAACCTGCATGTGGACGTGGGTGGCAGCCGGACTGGGAGGTCCCCTTCGGTGTCCCCGGACCGAGCCAGCTTCCCTACCTCTCCTTATTCTGTGCCTCAAATAGCGCCCATGCCCAGCAGCAAGCTGTGCCCCGTCTGTAAAACGGCCGACCTGACTGGCACTGCTGATGACAGGCCAAGCTTCAACACTTGCACACTGTGCCGCTCCATGGTGTGCAACCAGTGTGGCTTCAACCCCAACCCTCACCTTACTGAGGTAAGAACCAGACCTCGCTAACTATGTATAGAAGGTTGTCACAGAGTGAGATAATAGCCTAGGGGTGTCAAACTCATTTTTGTAGTGGGCCACATTTTAGTTACCATTTCCCTTGGAGGGCCGCTATGACTGAAACCATATAAAAAAAAAAGTCAAGAAAAACAGTTTATTCAACTATTGTTTAAGTTACTGTTATGAGGGGTTTGGTCACAAGAAAATGCGTACAATATGTTTATTTATTACATATGATAATTTTTAAATTTGGTAGAGATTTTAAGAAGCATCTTGGAAGTTGACATTTTTGATTTGCCTTCGCGGGCCACATAAAATGATGTGGCGGGCCAGATCTGGCCCCCGGGCCTTGGGTTTGACACCAGTGGAATAGCCCATTAGTCTTTGAAAAACATTGCCAGCACAGCGCATTCAGATTCAAAATAGCCTCGCAAAAATGACACCTATTTCGTTGTGTTGACACAATTTTATTTTAATTGCACTGCTTACTCTTACCACATATTTTATCATATTCAGCCATCTAGTTAGTCATAAAACAGAAAAAATAAAACACACGATGTGTTGTTTTTCACTCTCAATATGTCTGACTAAGAAAGCAAATTTCCTGATTGCTAGAAAAAATGTTTGCCTCAGTTCCGCGGATTTCCAGCATACACACATATTAATTACCACAAAGACCATGATGCAAGAAAAAGTCGTACTTGATCATTAGAATCTTTAGTTGAATTAATCAAAAGCACCCTGTCTGTTATCTGTGTTAAGCCGTGTCATGACAGAAGCGAGGCTGACAAATTAAACATACTACAGGATGCCTCTGTGCTTCATTTTACGTCATATCATATCCCCAGTGCTCTTTCATACGTAGGTTACTGTATATAGTGTACATGACTCACTTTTTATAGTGCAAGCACACTCTCCGATGTGCCGCACTGGGTTGATGCAGACATCCTTTAATTTTTAAGACGTTGGCTTGTGTCCTTCCAAGGTGTGTCACAACTCTGCACTCATAGCAGATGGTGGAAGAGGCAGTTTGCGTCACACGTGAACAATGACATCATTCACGATGCTTTAAAAGGAAACACATATTACGTTGTTGCTATTACACCGGTTTTCGTGAAACAGCATGTGGAGCGGTCCCCTTTTTGCAGCTTCTTTTCTGGGAAGGTCTTCATACAAGATGCTTTAGCGTGTCTGTGACATGTTTTTTTTTTTTCCAGTCAGAAGCCTAGCATTATCCAAAATGTCAAGAGGATTAAGATTAAGTTGGCAGTGATGGCAATTACCGCCTGTTGATTGACCATATACAGTAGCATATACTGTATGTATAGTATGCTATTTAGTGAAGCACGGTCCAGCTTCATTTGTTAAGTCTGACTGGGCAAATATTTCAAGCTCTGTTCGTCCTCTAATTATCCAGTCGTCGGCTCATATGTCTTAGTTCTTAGGCGATGTTACAATGTAAAAATAGTGTACTTCATAAAACACTGAAATGCTTCCTCTATCCTTCTTGAGAGACACTAATGAGCAGCCAAATGATGTCCCGAGCTATGACCAAATAAAGCTTTTGTTTATAGCCCCGGTGAACAGCTCCCAAGCAGCTCCCCATCATTGAAATGCATCTTAAGTGTCATTTCTGTCAACAGGTAGAGGAGAAAGACTTCTGCCTTCATCCGAAAATAAATCACTTGCCTAATTTGAATTAGGCTATGCTTCACTGTGACTCTGAGCCCAGTTTGGCTGTGTCATCTGTCTTAAAGTTTCACATCATCTCCGGTGATTCATGCTGAAAATTACAGCCAAGATGCCTCATCGCTTAAGCTGACCTGAAGGCTTGTAGAGCAGCTGCAGGTTGAATAAATACTTGATGCGAGGTGTGAAAGGTTGAGTTTTCCAACTGTGGATTTACAGTATGCAATTGTAATGACTAATTTGTGAGTGTGCAGCTTTGTATAAATAATGATGTGGCGGGCCAGATCTGGCCCCCGGGCCTTGGGTTTGACACCAGTGGAATAGCCCATTAGTCTTTGAAAAACATTGCCAGCACAGCGCATTCAGATTCAAAATAGCCTCGCAAAAATGACACCTATTTCGTTGTGTTGACACAATTTTATTTTAATTGCACTGCTTACTCTTACCACATATTTTATCATATTCAGCCATCTAGTTAGTCATAAAACAGAAAAAATAAAACACACGATGTGTTGTTTTTCACTCTCAATATGTCTGACTAAGAAAGCAAATTTCCTGATTGCTAGAAAAAATGTTTGCCTCAGTTCCGCGGATTTCCAGCATACACACATATTAATTACCACAAAGACCATGATGCAAGAAAAAGTCGTACTTGATCATTAGAATCTTTAGTTGAATTAATCAAAAGCACCCTGTCTGTTATCTGTGTTAAGCCGTGTCATGACAGAAGCGAGGCTGACAAATTAAACATACTACAGGATGCCTCTGTGCTTCATTTTACGTCATATCATATCCCCAGTGCTCTTTCATACGTAGGTTACTGTATATAGTGTACATGACTCACTTTTTATAGTGCAAGCACACTCTCCGATGTGCCGCACTGGGTTGATGCAGACATCCTTTAATTTTTAAGACGTTGGCTTGTGTCCTTCCAAGGTGTGTCACAACTCTGCACTCATAGCAGATGGTGGAAGAGGCAGTTTGCGTCACACGTGAACAATGACATCATTCACGATGCTTTAAAAGGAAACACATATTACGTTGTTGCTATTACACCGGTTTTCGTGAAACAGCATGTGGAGCGGTCCCCTTTTTGCAGCTTCTTTTCTGGGAAGGTCTTCATACAAGATGCTTTAGCGTGTCTGTGACATGTTTTTTTTTTTTCCAGTCAGAAGCCTAGCATTATCCAAAATGTCAAGAGGATTAAGATTAAGTTGGCAGTGATGGCAATTACCGCCTGTTGATTGACCATATACAGTAGCATATACTGTATGTATAGTATGCTATTTAGTGAAGCACGGTCCAGCTTCATTTGTTAAGTCTGACTGGGCAAATATTTCAAGCTCTGTTCGTCCTCTAATTATCCAGTCGTCGGCTCATATGTCTTAGTTCTTAGGCGATGTTACAATGTAAAAATAGTGTACTTCATAAAACACTGAAATGCTTCCTCTATCCTTCTTGAGAGACACTAATGAGCAGCCAAATGATGTCCCGAGCTATGACCAAATAAAGCTTTTGTTTATAGCCCCGGTGAACAGCTCCCAAGCAGCTCCCCATCATTGAAATGCATCTTAAGTGTCATTTCTGTCAACAGGTAGAGGAGAAAGACTTCTGCCTTCATCCGAAAATAAATCACTTGCCTAATTTGAATTAGGCTATGCTTCACTGTGACTCTGAGCCCAGTTTGGCTGTGTCATCTGTCTTAAAGTTTCACATCATCTCCGGTGATTCATGCTGAAAATTACAGCCAAGATGCCTCATCGCTTAAGCTGACCTGAAGGCTTGTAGAGCAGCTGCAGGTTGAATAAATACTTGATGCGAGGTGTGAAAGGTTGAGTTTTCCAACTGTGGATTTACAGTATGCAATTGTAATGACTAATTTGTGAGTGTGCAGCTTTGTATAAATGTGATTGCAAAAGTCTGAGGACATACTTTGTTGACACCAGAGTGGGTTTATTCTTTCAGGAGATTCATGTGCATATTGTGTCGCTTCTTCCATACAATTTTTGACATACAGTCAACCCTCACTGATTTTACCCCCCCTCCCCCCCCAGGAAATAACTATCACTATTTACTGAAAAGTACACTTATTCGAACCCATTTGTTGATTGCAAAAAGATTTTAAAATCATTTTATTTTAGCGAAACTACAACATATTTTGTAGAATGTAGAAATACAGTTCAAAAAAATGCATCTCAAGTGCAAGGATGCTGGCGTGCATGCTTTACGACCACTAATTACTACTTTCCTCTTTGCCACAGTATTGTGTTTTTGACACTGTGATACATTGATACCTTGATTTAAAAAAAATACATTATTATTTCATAAACAACTCTTTATTTTTAATTGGGCACTTAATGTTGAGCCCCTAGCTTTGACCAGCTGATTAACTCTTCACTTCCACCATTGCCAAAAGGGATCTGGACATTTCTCCTCATCATTTAGTGGAGTTTACCACCCTTATTAAAGCATTCTCAGGTCAATTGAAAGGCATAAAATAAATCTAGGGTACAGTATTATTATTTTTGTTGTTATTATTGTTGTTGTTGTTGTTGGGTTTCAAGCTATTAATTTAGGCCTACATTTTAACGGAGGTGGGGTTTGACCGTCGTAACATTTTAAATTAAAAAACATGAATAGATATTCTTCCAGTGATGTAAAGATTAGGGTTCGAGAAAGATTTAGATCTAAACAAATTCATTAATGGTGTCATATAAACGATCAAATCCCTACTCGTACCGCATATTACCTCGTTTTGACTTCGCTGATTGTATGCAAGGTCTGCTGCTGTCACTGTTGTTCACGCACTGACTTTTGCAGGTGACGAATGTCCAAGCCTTGGTGCAGGTTGATTGCGTTCCGTGTACGAGTAAGTGTAGCGGTGCGCAGTCGGTGGATAGAAATGCGTGAAGCACAGCCGAGGGACACAGTAAAGAATAGCTCATGGCAGGCAGAGGAGGAGAATGTGGCAGCATAGAGGGATTGCGGAGGTGGATGTTATGGCTCAGCCTTGGTGAGCTTGTCAGATGCTGAGAGCGCAACACAGAGTGAAAGCGGGCCTGCCTCTGGAGATCTGAAGATTTACCACCCTAACCTACTTAGAATGGATTTGACTTTTCCCTCACAGAAACATATCTTAGTAGCTTTATCGTTTGTCAATGAAACTGATTCTCTCCACATTTTCGTTGATCAACATTAAAGACGAAAATATTTAAAAACAGATACTGTATGAGTAGATCCATTTGAAAAGTCAAAATGAAATCCATCCATACATTTTCTTCAATTCTGTCCTCTTTAGG